AAATAATTATTTTATTGATGTATATTTTTAAAATAAAAAATAAAATAAAATAAATGCCCAAAATGATTTTTGAATTAATAGAAAAAATAACATTTTAAATTAGATTTTTATTTTTTTATATTTTTCAGACTGAGACAGGTTTAAAATAAGGACTAGTTTAATGTGGGAAAAACGTGTTTAAACATTTAAATAAGGTGGTCAATCCCCCCCTTAAGGAACATGAATGGTTATAAAGTTAAAAAGGCAATATAAGAGTTAACATTTGTTGCTGTCCACAAAATAAAAATAAAAAAAGCTTGGATATAGTCAGCATACAGTCGTTAGGGCTGTTACATCACAATAAGAAAATCCCAGGTTCACAATCATGTTTTCTTTCTGTGAAGTATTTACATGGTCTCCATGTGCATGTGTGCATTTTCTGGGGGTACTCTGATGTCCTCCCACAGACAATAAACATTAATGAGAAATTAATTGTTGACTTTAAATTGCGAATAGGTGAGGGTGAGAATGGTCTGTCTCAGGTCTCTGTGTAAACCTGTGGTGGACAGGAGACTTGTCCAGGGTGTATCCTGCATCACACCCAGTGAAACCTGGAGATAGGCACCAGATCCCCAAATACAGTGCAAAAGTAAAGGAACAATACAGGATGAATAGCTTAGTCTGTTGTTATACAAGTTCTAAAAAATAATACACACCAAGGTCACCTTCTCTGCATGGTTTATTCATATGTATGGGTTACTGTTCTCCTGTGCACTTCAAACAAGAGGCTTTCTATCTGAGAAATGTCTGCATGTGTAAACAGAAGATAAAAGTGTGACACCCAAAGAGGTTGTGCAAAGTGTACCTTCATTACCAGCATATTTCATGAAGCCACTTTATGAGGACACCAAGTTATGTTTGAAACTGTAAGCAAATGTGTTATCTCAAAAAATTACATAAAAAAGTGACTGTAAACACTTTTGAGTTCATTTAGGTTATATAAACTATATCAATTTACAATAAATTCATCCACCTCCTTCTTTTTACTTTTATTTTGGGCAGATGCCTTCCTGCAAAACTAAACTTAGAAAGGACTGAGGAGTAAAAATGAAAGATTAATAGTAAAAATAATAATAATAATAATAATAACAATAATAATAATAATAAAACAAGTAACACCAACAAATCAGAGGTATTGAAATGAATGAATGCTGAATGAATCAGCAATACATTAAAATAAAAACATTTAGAAAATTAATTATACCACCACCAAATTTTAAGTGCTGATGAATTTAAATGTAGAGGCAAGTTGTATAAGTTCCATCGACATTATGTATTTTTTTTTTGTTTTGTTTTACCACATTACCTAAAACAATAATAAATATATGAAATGCAAAGCAAACACATAACTCAGCAGATATTGCCACAACCCACAGTGAAGCTTGAGTCGGATAACTCACCTACATCAGGCTGGCTGTAGCTTGTGTAAGAAAACATACGTGTGATACAGTTGAATATTCTATTACAGAGACTTGAATATGATATTGGAATTACAGGAACAGCTCTAAATTGGTTTAAATCATATTTAACTGATAGATTCCAATTTTTAAATGTAAATAATGAATCTTCATCATACACCAAAAATGTATCATGGAGTTCCTCAAGGTTCAGTGCTCAGACCAATACTCTTTACCTTATACATGCTTCCATTAGGTATTGTTATTCAACAGCATGTTTTTTTTTTTATTGTTATGTTGATGATACTCAGTTATATTTGTCCATGAAACTTAATGGATCCAATCAGCTACTTGGACTAAAAGCATGTCTTAAAGATATAAAAACCTGGATGGCCCTAAATTTGATACATTTGAATATAGACAACACTGTGGTTTTAGTTTATGGACCTTAGGAATACATTTTTTTCAGTCTTTTGCCCTCCTTGGACGGCATTAATCTGGCCTCCAGATCTAATGTTCAAAAATCTTGGTGTTATTTTTGATCAGGACATGTCTTTTATCCCCACATTAAAAACGTTACTAGAACCGCCTTCTTCCATCTGCGTAATATCACTAAAATTAGTAACATCCATCCATTATCTTTTACCCGCTTCTTCCATTTTGGGTCATGGGGGTCGCAGGTGCCCATGTCCAGCAATGCATCACTGTGCGAGGGGCGGGGTACACCCTGGACAGGTCGCAAGTCCATCACAGGGACACATAGAGACAAACGAGACAAACAAGACAAACAACCATTCACTCTCTCTCTCACACCTGGGGACAATTTAGAGTTATCAATCAGCCTAACATGCATGTTTTTGGTCTGGGGGAGGAAACTGGAGTACCCGGAGAAAACCCATGCATGCACGGAGAGAACATCCAAATTTCACCCAGAAAGGTCCCCAGATCGGGATTTGAACCGCGGACTTGCTCGCTGAGAGGCAGCAGCTCTACTAGTTGTGGCCCTGTGCTGCCCAATTAGAAACATATTATCTAAAAATGATGCAGAAAGACTTGTTCATGCATTTGCCACGTCTAGACAGGACTATCACTGTGGTTTGTTATCTGTGTGTCCAAATACTTCTTTAAAAAGTCTTCAGTTGATCCAAAATGCTGCTGCCAGAGTCTTAACTGGAGTTAGTAGGAGAGATCATATCTCTCCAGTTTTAGCTTATCTCCATTGGCTCCCTGTCAAATTCAGAATTCACAATCTTACGTCTAACCTACAAAGCTCTCAACAACCTAGCTCCATCTTATATTTGAGATCTTGTTGTTCTATAATTTCCTAACAGAGCTTGTCACTCTCAAACTGCAGGCTTACTTGCAGTTCCTACAGTTTCCAAAGCAGAATTGGAGGAAGATCTTTCAGTTATCAGGCTCATCTCTTGTGGAACCAACTTCCAGTTTCTGTCCATAAGGTTGACACATCGTCCAGTTTTAAGACTGGGCTTAAGACTTTCGTTTTTGATAAACCCCATAATTAGGGTTGGCTTGTTATGCTGGCTTAAGCTTGGACAACTGGAGGACAAATTGACCTTATTTCCTTAAATTAATTGTTAAAGTTGAACAGTTTTCATTTGATACTATTTCTTTCTTAACATATGATTCTTGACCTGCCATTGTGTATCTGTTCTTACCAAACCCAGCCAGTCAAAGCAGATGGCCGCTTGTCCTGAGCCTGGTTCTGCTAAAGGTTTCATCCTCATGAGGGAGTTTTTCTTGTCCACTGTCGCCTTCATGCTTGCTCAAGAAGAGAGTCTGTGATAAAGTTAAATTCAAAGCAGACTGCTCGTCATATAAATTGTTAAATTATTGTTTTTTTATGAATGTTTTTGTTAACTTATTATATATATATATATATATATATATATATATATATATATATGTTTGTGTTCATTGCCCTGAGATGACTTCTGTTGTGACTTGGTGCTATACAAATAAACTGAATTGAACTGAACATAGATGGCTAAATCAGACCAGCATATATTCTCAGAGAAAATGTTGAAACATAAGAGCAACTTGGCTGTTAAATGTAAAAAAAAAAAAAAATGAGGACACCTGTTAAGAATAAATATGAGGGATCAAGCTGTGCAATAATGCATATAAAGACAAATATTGGCATTCAAGCCTACATGTTTCTAACTAAACTTTTCTAGATAAGTAGCTTTATCATTTCAGATTAACTTAACTTTGTATCTGCATACATTACTCAACATATAGAAGCATAACTATGTGCTAAAATATTAAACGTGTCAGATATTTTATCCCAAATGGTTTCCCCACTGGTCTGCCTAATTCATTTTTTCAGTCACAGCGGCGGAATCAATAGATAAGCAAACAAACATGATATATAGCAACCATTTACAAAGTATGCCAAAATTATTTTTTTTTTTTTCATTTTTCAAATTTTAAACAATTAATCACTGATATGAGAAACAAATGTAAAGGTTAGGCATACAACTTTATAACTTATTTTCCAAAATACATGACTTTGCAAATATCACCTTTTATCAAAACCATCATGTTCCAAAGGATTTATCAGATAAAATATGAACATAAAGAAAATACATCACACATATCTTAGACTGGAAACTCATGAAAAGCACAGTTTAGGTCTGTGAAGTGGACTTAAACAGTATTCTTCATACATGTTCAAAAGTTAGCATATCTAATATCATAAATAAACCTTCAAACTGGAATTTAGAGCCAACATTCCTCTCATTTAAGCAACAGAGGATAGAGCTGTCCTTGGTGCTGATTGATGCGTGTTTGGTTGATGCCACTCCTACAGCTGTCCAAGGCACTGAATTAGGGTTCATAGATCATTCCTTTGACTAAATGCTATATTGATACTACTGTAAATGGGCATCTCAAGCAGAAGAATTTTTTTTAATACAAAAGTCAATATAAACATGTGTTTTATTTGCATTAAACAGTATATAGAGATGCTTAATGATATATTTCTATACATTTTATACGTGTTATCCTAAAATACACACGCAGTCACACATACACATACATTCTTGTATACTGTATATCAGAGTCAGAGTCAGTGATTTTTATTGTCGTTCGCACCACATGTGGAACAAAATTGTGTACACAGGGTCCCAGTTACATCCAACAATAAAATGTAAAATAAAAACAGTAACAACATCTAAGATATGAAGTAAGAACAACAACAACTAAAAATGTGCTTAGCACCAATACCATAAAAACAATATGCCGAACAGCAGCACAAACATGAGTCTGTGTGAGCAGATGAGCATGCATGAACACAGTAACATGAAACAGATCAGAAGCAACATTATGTGATTTATCACATTTTTTTCACAGTACACACACATATATATATATATATATATATATATATATAGTATACATGTATACAGTATATATATTACAAGATTTGCGTGCTTCCGCATGGTGAGAGCGCGCATGTGTTGATTTCTGCTGCAACAACGTGCATCAGTCCCTCACTGACCCGTGCGTTAATCTGCATTCAGACTGAGGCTCCAATGCTTTTTTTTTTTTTTTTCTCCAGCTGCTCCATATTGGAGTAGCATATTACCTGGAGCATCGTTGCTTGCGTGACGTGGGTAGGCCCTGCTTTTGGTTGTCGACTCGCTAGCAATAATATTAATAATAAAATAAATTAATTAAAACAAAAACAAGTTGTACGAAATTAAGCTCTCAACTCGCCTGCTTACACCCGGACGCACGTCGGTCTGGATTCGCAGCGGTGCTTCTGCCAACGTGCGTAATGTATCGTAACGAGGAAGCACAGTAAGTAGACGGACACGTCCATCTGCAGGGAGGAGGAAGCGAAGATGGTGATGACAGCTTCACCCAAATCAGCCTTCAAATGCTCGATAGCAATGGCGAAGCCTTCCCTACCCCTCAAGCTGCTTCTCTGGGTGTTCATTGTCATCAGCCTCTCGAAAAGGTAGGACAATTATGCACGACTTCTCTAAAACACAGCGTGAATCTTAGTCGGGTCTGTGTGGCACCATATTTCTCAATGTAACAAAATAATAAAGCCGTACCTTTCATCTAATGCAACCCAGCTATGTGTGGACACCTGGGCGACTCAGAGACGGACTGGGATAGCATTTTATTTTAATTCCGAATTATATAGTGTCTAAAATTAACTCATGTATTTCAAATAAGCACAGTGACACGTAGATCGTGGAAGATGATGTGATCACGGTGCAGTATTTGTTATAATGGCAATACAGGCAACAAACAATAACACTATGAATTAAACATACTTGTGGTTTGATGTGGTTTTATTATTAGTATTATTATAAAATAACCCTACACCCGCGCTGTCTTGCTCAGATTGTTAGAAATAGCACAATGGCAGGCTAAGTAAAGTGAAGCTAAGGCTACATGGACTCTGTTAAGCAGTCTTCAAGGATCAAGTCTATTTCCAGAGTCAAAGCTTCTTTAATGAGCGCTTCTGTCTGAGCAGCCTGAGGTGAAATATAATCCGTTTGCGTAAAAACACGTTTGCGTTGTTCGTAGCGTCATTTGTGTGCATGTATTTCAAATAAGAAAAAAAAAATAATAATAATAATTTCAAAATGGCAGACAATCGCACAGTGAGCCCAATAAGACACAATAAGGGCAAGAGCGCACACACGCGGAGCGGTCCTTGACGTGCGCGTTCCCAACAAGGACCATCGTGCGGGTTTTATCGTGCAGGATTGAGCGCTGTGAGGAAGTGTCATCAAGAGGGACTTATTTATTGGTAAAAGGAGAACAGATGAGAGGAAGCTTTTTATTTCTTCTTCTTTTTTTTTTTTTTTCTCTCCTTCCTCGCATCGTTTTCTTCTCCTGAGCTGCTGAAGGGTGAAAAATGGAGGCATATAAATCAGATGACGTCACGCTGATCGCAATCTCAGGGTTCCTCGCCCAGACCCACATTGCCAGGCCTGTGCGTTTCTAATTAAATGCACAAGTAGTGTTCACAATGTGCTTGAGTAAGCACTACACCCTTTTCATTCACGACTTAAGAGGGTTATTTGTTGACCTTAAGCTTGAACTATGAATGGTTTCATTACAAAGACTCAAGACGGGTGGATGTAAGGGGTTATAACTGTCAAAAAGCCAAAAGGAGCATTCCTTGTAAACAGACACAGAAAGCTTTTTTGTTGTCTTGTTTTCGTTTGAATGCACACAACTGTGCATGCTTTTTTCCAAACAGTGCATATTATGTTATACGTCAAATACAACGGTTTGTACCTGCAAATTAATTAAGAAGAACAAACTCTTACATCATATGGTTCTCAAGGTCTTTGCATGTTTTCTTTGTGTCTTTGTGCTATTTTATGACCACTAACATCTATTATGTGTTGTGATGTCAGACTACGTGTAACAGATTAATCTTCTCTCAACTGTCAAGTCAAGCTCCCCAAGTCAACAACTTGACTTGGGGAGCTTGAAGAAGAGAGAATGTGCATATTAACTGTGGAGAGGATGAAGTTAAGACTCCATCCTTTCAACAGTTGGTCTAAGGGAGATGTGGGCAACTGATATTATCAGTCCATTAATTGGCTGTTGTTAGTTTTTATCATCCCCATATATAGCGGTGAGACTGTCCCACCTACCTCCTGGTGGGTTTAAAGGTACGTTATTATCGCTGATAATAGGCAGCGTTGCACAGGGGTAAACCAGGAAGTGTCTTTTTTGTTTTTTTCAGCTTATGTAACCCTTTTCCTAAACCTCACCTTACACCTGACCCAGAGGACCAACCCTAAACCTAACCGCTAGACCCTTTACTCTGAACCTAACCACGTGAAGCTATTATGAGCGCTAACAAAGGTAAAAACGGAGCCTATTATCATTGCTAACAATGCTAAGAACGTACCTTTAAACTCACTAGGAGGTACAGGAGGGGCAGTCTGACCGCTACATATGGGGATGATAACAACTAATAACAACCATTTAATGGCTGATAACATTCGAAGACATGGCTGGAGGGCCACATAAGGCCCTTGCAAGATGTCCATCTGACCCTCAGTATCTTTAATTGGACAGAAAACAACTGTTTAATAAGTTGCTGAAAACACGTATTTGATTCCTGAAAGTAAAATAGGTCTAAATTAAACTGCTAGAGCAGGGGTGTCAAACTCACTTACAAAAGGGGGCCAAAATGAAAACCTTTCTTTCAAACTGAGGGACATTTTCAGACTCTACAGTAACTCAAATCAGATACCCATTCTTGGTCACAGATTTCTCAACAAGAGTTTGATTGGTCTCATTTATGTTCTCTGTTGTGCTTTCGACATCATAATCAAAGATTACTGAAAAAAAATCCAAGATACAGAAGTATTTTACATTTCACATATCATCTTGAGTGCCAGATAAGATGTCAACTAGGGCCACATTTGGCCCCGGGCCTTGAGTTTGACACATATGCTTTAGATTAAGATAAGCTAAAACCTTTTTGAAGTCCTGTTTCCTGATAGTACTATTTCAGCCAGACTGAACCTTAACGACACAAAAAACAAACATGTTACTGTTTTTTTGCATAAGAAAGCTAACCAGTATGTTGTCACAATATTCTTTAAGGGTATTGGGGAGAAAGGTTTTTATCAAGCATGCTAACTATGCTACAAGAAGAAGAAGCCTGGAAATATCTTATAGATTATCAGTCTTAAAAATATATATTCTCCAGTTTTTATTTATTTATTTATTTATTTATTATGCGGCCCTTTAATTGCTTTAAATATTGTATATTGATTTTGCACTCTGGGAAAAAAAAAAAAAAAAAAAAAGTTGCCCATCTCTGGTCCAAGGTGTTTTATTTTCAAGGTTAAATTCAATCAGAAAATGTAATAAAATTAGCATAACAGTCAGTTTGTAATTATACAGATTAGAGGGTCCTAGATGTGTTAAAGTCATGAACCAGATCCTGTAGAAGTCATGTAAGTGATCCAGGGATACCATGTTTGCGGTTTCCCAAATTGATTTTAAAGTCCCAGGTGACTCTAAAGCACAAATGAATCAACATTATCTTTAAATCTGTAGCATGTTTTATTTTATTTTATTTTTTTATGAGACATCTCATGTTCCTTTCATTAGAAAGCATTAGTTCAAATGCATTATCAACAATTCAGTATAGACTAGATTTTTAAGTAATGTGCAATTCAGCTTCATGGTTAAATATTACAATAAAAAGCACTTTTTATATGTATCATAATCTTGTATTTATGGCATATAATAATGTTGGAGCAGTGTCAAATGTGAGGGCGGGTTTATGGGTTTATGTGAGGGTTTAAAATACAATAGAATAATGTACAGTATTTGTTTCATTTTCCCATTAGATGTGTTGTACAGCATGGAGATAAGGGCTAAGAATTTGTGTGATATTACAGGATGAGAAAAATTGTTCATTATATTATAATAATATATATTTTTTCTTCACATTTTTTGAAGTAGTTTGATCAGAATTTGAAATCTTGTAACAAACAAGCTCTGGATGTATTTCACTGATAAACATAATGCTCTGTAAGTTAGAGTAATGGGTCTCATAGTGAACATGAGGATATGTGTGTAATAAGACACCAGGTGTGGACTTTATTAATATCAATATAATTTTGTGCAATTACTGTTAGAAAAATAAATGCAAAAACCATACATGAATAAAAACCCATGTTATGGTTGTTTGTGTTCCTCTAGTTTTGAATAACTTATTAAGAATAGCTGTAACCTAATGGACGGGCAGGCAGACAGGCAGACAGACAGACAGATAGAAAGGCATTTTAAACCATTCCCACACTTGTGCAATATTCTAAACAATGTTTCTAAACTCTAAAGGATGTCATGATTTCAGCTCCCCTGCCTCATTTGCTCTTTGCCACATGCAAGCGCTCTTGGCCACGCCCACTTTTCCACTTTGCACAGAGAACAGCTGATCAGCTGCAGCAGGAAGCTTATCCTGCTGTATGGGCTGCACAAAGGTGCAGGAGGAAGATTTTTTTCTGCTGCTCTGGGCTGCAGACAGATGCAGCAGGTGCTAAATATTTTAAAACAATTTATTTTAAATAAAAATCCCATGCCGATCATGCAGCTCATCCATCAATCAGCCAATTGTGTGTCATGTCCTGTCTTATTTTGAAAATCTGCGATAGAGCGAGTCCGCGATAAACGAACCACGAATTAGTGAAGGACCGATGCAATATTAGTTGTAGATACGTATAATGCAGTGATAAAGTACAATATTATATGCTAAGTAAATACGTTAACAAATGCTTATTGTGCTAACAAGGTAGTAACTTAGCCTGAAATGTTTAATATAACAACTCTTGATGAAATGTATAGGTGAACAGATTTGGCTCACTATTTGGGATGAAACTGGTCAGTTTGTCTCTCTGTCACTCACTTATTGCATAATAAGCAGTTATTAATGATTTATAAAATGTTTATAGAGGAACAAATAATGTACCTATAAACTATTTATTAGCATCTATAAGGGGAGCCTCATAGTAAAGTGGTACTAAAACATTTTTTTATTTGATATTTTCTTTACTCAAGTGCCCTGAATATAGTTTCATTTTCTTTATAACAAAGTGCATGCTAAAGAATGCATTCAAATATGTGTTGTTAAAGATTACATGCTGAAATAAGTTTGACAAAATGTATTTGTTTTGTTATTTAATTATTGAGACTCAGTATTTAGAAAAGATTGCTTAGTCCAAACTAAAAGCTCATATCACTCAGTTTAACTTGCATGCATGTTTAGGTTATGGATTTCATCTATTTCATATCACACTGTGTCATACGATTATATGGTTTTTACAAAGAGACCAGTAAGATGTTGATTTGGGGTATTTTATTACACATTGATATTCACTGATCAATAGTCATAAGCTATGGCAACACTCAGACTGGAAATTGATTTCCATAAATTTCTGAATGTTGTTAACAGCCATAAATGCT